AGTAGGCTGGGGCCTTCTTCCTGGGCAGCACAGGGCCAGGAGCTCGTGTGCGCATATCCGCACGGTCCAGGGGCCGACAGCGGGACATCAGCGGGCAGGGAGGTGGAGGTGGATGAGAGCAGCTGCAAGACCACCAGGGGGAAAGGAGTGGGTTGTTAACAAAGGCGGGACACTGGGCAGGGCCTGTCTTTTCCTACGAGAAGTTTCCAGCGGATGTGCTGACTTCTGATGGCGGGAAACGAGGCATCTGGGCGCCTTGGCGATGCTTGTATCCAGCACAGGTGGGAGGGCCCCACCGAGGACGCGTCGCCCTTTCTGCCCGGACTTCGGGTTGCATCCACCGCGACTTGGGCTTCTCGTTCATGTCTAGGAAAAATTCACACACAGTCACTCAGGTGGGCAGAAACTTTATTTCTCTTTAACTGAACTGAACTCACTCACGAGCCTCCATTTAGACCAGTGGTGGAAACATCTTAATCTTTTTTCCATTTCTACTGTTGACAAAAAAAAAAAAAAAACCCAAAGAAAGAAAATTTAATCTTTTTTCCATTTCTTCTAATGGTGGAAAAAAACCATAATCTTGCCATTTCAAGGTAACTCAGTCTCTTCCAATAGAAAGTGTAGACAATCCCTTTGTTACTCAGGCCATCAGGATTTAAACAGAATTGATTCCGAGCTGAAATTCCCTATCGGGCTGTTGGTTTTCTCAGAGGTTCTCACCTCCCACCTGTCTATGCCAAGATGTTGCCTGAGTACAGGGGGAGTTTAAAGGTGAAGGGACTTACTGCCTCCATTGGGGTGGCTTGTCACAGGAGGCCTTGGGCGGGGCCCAGATCTGCTGACATCTGTGGCCAGGCCTCCTCCCTCCTGCCTGGGTTGCTGAATCTCTGCATTCGGGGCCCTGCGTAACCACCCTCAGGCCACCTCTGTTCTCCCCAGCTCTCAGTGCTTCCTCACCTCCTACTGGGACTTGGGTGCTCTGTTCTCAGTTCGCGGGAAGCCAGGGGCTCTCAGGTCCCCTCTGCTTAATTCTAGCACCCCGCTGTTTCCACTGAACTGCAGCCACAGGCGATAGGAGCCCCCTCTCTCAGGGTTCCCGCAGCAGGTAGGGCCTAAGCCCCTTCCCCAGAGTGAGATCCGGGGGAGTTCCAGCCCTCCTGCCCACCCTCTTCATTCTCCAGGCCCCTTCCCTGCTCCCTGCCTCCAGGAAGAGCTTATATCTCTTCTCTGGGTGGCAGGAAACAGCCCCTTCCTTTCCACGGCTTGTAATAAAATCTCTAGGCTCTGAGTTCTTCAAGCTCTGGTTCCTTGGAACCTAGTAGTTTCTCTCTCTCTCTCTCTCTTTCTCATCTCATAAAAGCCTACCTGGCTCTGGCACGAAAGCCTGAAAGCCTTGGCTTTTACAGCGTTTTACAACTGAAATAGCATTATTTTGGAACTTAAAAGCTACACACTGACTGCTTTGTTCCTGTCTGCGTCCCACCCTCCCGCTCGGGCAAAGGAGGCCACAGCGCACTGGGTCGAGGGCCCCAGGCAACAGAAACGACCCGGAATGAAACAGGCACTGATACTGCAGAATATCGTCCTGCTGCACGTATCGTTCGGGACACCCAGACTCAGCTCTGGACGGCGTGGCTTCATCCGGGGCCCATGCTGCTGAGAACCGCGCCCCGCGCTGTGGGCAGCCCGGCGGGGGCGGAGCGGAGCGGCAGGGCCGGATCCCCAGGTGGGACGCTGGAACCAGGGAGCCCTGTGCAGGGTCTCTCCACTGCGTGGTCTCGGCAGAGATGCCCTGTCGTGGGTTCATTTGCTGATGGAGTGTGACGTGAGTGCTGGTCTCATTCCAGCTCCCGTGTCTTCTCCCTGATGTGTTCAGTGTGTGTGCGGACAGTGCACGCCTACGCGCACCTAGGTGGTGGCCTTGGACGGGTGTCGGCCTCACATTGGGTATTGATTTTAGTCTCTGTGTTTAGAGTAAATGGGAGGGAAATACGTATATACAGTTGACCCTGTAGTCAGTGTGACAGCCTGCACAATGTCTTGGCAACCTTAGCCGTGTCATAGATCATGCAAGAGGGGACATGGAGCAAGGAGGGTCATGGCCTGGGGTCTGGAGCCCTGGTGTCTCGTTCTGGCTTGGACGGTAGCCCTGGCCCCCAGCCACTGTGCCCTCTCAGAGGCATTCCTACCTCCTCGTGGAAAGGGGCGGTTCCTGGAGGACTGCCAGGCTCAGTTCCAGCATTGACACTGTGCTCAAGGAAATGCTTCCCGAGACACCATGTGGTTTGGCACTCGACTCCTTCTCCGCTAAAAACTGGTAGTGGGAGAAATGCTGAAAGAATACTAATCATTTTTACAATCCACATTCAACAGTTATACATTAATGAAATCGACTCTGACTCATGGCTCAAAGTTGCTGTGAGTGTTCGTGCCCAGCCCCCGCCTACCTGCCCAGGTGCCCACTGAAGGGCCAGAGCAAAAGGAAAGGTCTGCATTGTAAACACTCAGGTCCCCAGTGCTCTGTCTGAAATCGTCGCCTGTTATTCTCTTCAATTCAAAATAATGAACTAAGCCCCGATATTTGAATCCTTCTACTTCCCAATGTCCCCATCTTTAGAGACATTCGTATCTCTCTTTGGCCTCCTCAGTGGTCCATGCCCCCGGCCTCTTCTGGGTGGGACATTGTCTCACTTAGCCAGGGGGCCAGCTGGGCAGCCCTTCAGCTCACCTTGGGCTCCTTTTTGTGACACTGTGGGAACTGCTGAGGTCCTCCGGGGGTTGTGGAGAACTGCAGAGGGGAGACCCCACGTCCTCCAGAGACACACTGAGGCGTTGTCCTGAGCTCTCCTGGAAAGCACCCTGTGCTCAGAAATCCATAGGCCTAGCTTGGGGCAGGTTTTTTTGTTTTTTTTTTCAAATCTTCAAGACGTGAATATTTTAGAAAATAGAAAAAGAAGAAATGTTCATTTTTTAAAATAAAGCTAACTTAAGTCTGATACCAATACCTAACCAGAATGCAAAAACAAAATCTCACTTTCAAATACAGATGCAAAAACCTTAAATATAGTAGCAAACTCAGTCTAGCCATAGAATAAAAGCATAGTACATGAACCAGTGTGGTTTTTTCAAGTGGTCACTCATTCAAAAAAAATCTCCTGAAATTAATCTTAACAATACTCAAAGAACAAAAGAGTATGATCCAGTCAAAATTGAAATGAGATTTTTGTGGGAGAAATTTGCTATATTGATACTAAAGTTTAACTAATTAAATTATTTCGCAAGAATAGCTAGGAAATTTTGAAATAGAAGAGTAATTACTGGGTACTTGTTTTACTGGTTATTAACATTTGTTTTAAAGCTACAATATTTAACATGATACGTTTCTGTTAATGAAATAAATCAGTGAAACAAAATAGAAAATCCTAAAATAGATCCAAGTGCCCAGGATAATTAAATATATGACAAAGATAAAGATAGTATTTGAAATCAGAGGAGGGAGGATGAATTATTTAATAAATTATGTTGGTGTAACGGCTTAAGCATTAGGTCCTTACTTCTTTTTGCCAAAATCCAAATGGATTAAAAGTAAAAGTTCTGGCATGAAAAAAAATTAAAGTACTGGAATAAAATTTAGTTGAATATTTATATGTGATCGTGGGGAGTAAACCATGAATGAAAAGTTTAACTAATTTGACTGCTTATACTGTTTTAAATGTCTGTACAAATGCCAAAACCAAACAGAGACCCCACTTCCTGCCCCTTTGCCAGCACAAACTCAAAAATAAAATGGAAAAAAAAAACCATTATGACTGAGAATAATGTTTATACCAAATGTGACAGATAAAGCACAAATGTTTGTAGATGAAGGGGCTCCTAAAATTTTTAAGAAAATGATAGAAAAATGAATTGATGGTAAATGTCAACTATCTGGGAAAAAATTCACGTCCTATGACCATTAAATCCCTTCCTAGGAATTTATCCTCAGGAATTAATTGTGCACATATGTAGATATTTATGTATAAGCTATTTTTCAAAGAGGAGACAGAAGGAAGAAATGAAGAAAGGAAGAGAAAAGATGGGAAGGAAAGAAGAAAAGAAGGAAGGAAGAAAAAGAAGAAAGGGCCTTCAGTGTCCAATAGGGGATTAGTTAGTGAAATTCTTTTATATGTTGTTAGAGTTAACAGCCGATCAGTCACTAAAAGTAATCTGGAAGGATGTTCACAATAGCATGTACAAGAAGATTGTTTTATAAAAACAACTCTATGTAAATATATGCACAAATTCATAAAGACATCTGGAATCTGATAGTTTCACATTGGTTATCTCTGGGTTAATGGGTTACAGCTGACTTTTCTTCATTTTGCATGCATTTTCTTTTCTCTTACAATTACCAGTGTTTTTTTAGCTTTGAAAAAAATAATTTTTAATGTTATTCTGAGAACCCCAGGCTTGGTATAATAAGCCCGGGACATCACACTGGTCTGTAAATATTTTGGTTCCTCCCCTCCTGCCCTACAGCCTGCCATGGCCTAGCTCCCGGCCACCAGCTCTTCGAGATGTCTCTGAGCACCAAGACCCTCCCCGTTCCCTTCTCCTCAGAGCTGCTGAGCCACGTGTGATGCCCTCCCCATGTTTGTTCTTTAAATGTTCTGCGTGCATTGCCCAGTCTCCACGGAGAACCCGGGAGCTCCCTGAGGGCAGGGCTGGGCCTCTCTTAGGGCTCGGGCAGCAGCGCTGAGCAGCTGCTTCCAGGAGACAGGCTGGGCTTGGGTCTCTGCCCGGGGAGCACTGCAGACAGACACGGGCCCAGGAAGTGGGCTAGGGCCGCCGGCAAAGCCAGAGACCACAAACAGCTCCGCAAGCAAGCCGGGTGGGGCCAGCCCTGTCGTGGGAAGCAAGCCGGGGCTGGCTGTTGACGGCAAACTTTTCCACATTTGCAGTTTCCCTTGGCTAACTTGTCACGTTAACCTGTACTTTTTGTCTCCATGTCATGCGGACAGGTTCTAACATTCCCATGGACCAGCCCTGCTGTCGTGGTCTCTATGACTTTGAGCCAGAAAACCAAGGAGAATTAGGATTTAAAGAAGGGGACATCATTACGTTAACCAATCAGATAGACGAAAACTGGTATGAAGGAATGATACACGGGGAGTCTGGATTCTTCCCCATTAACTATGTTGAAGTGATCGTGCCTTTACCTCAGTAAACGTGTAACAAAAACTGTGGACATCCTTTCGTAACTGAAATGAATTCACACCAGTGTTCTCTCCCTGTGGTGTTCTGTGACATCCTTGCTCTCTGACCAACTTAATGACTTTTGTATGTGTGTTCTCTTTATAATGTATTTTGTATCGATTTAATTTGTATAAATGATGTTCTTGCCCTAGCTACATGGAAATATAGTTTTCTTTTTTGCTTATTGTCCTAAAAGTCATTGGTTAAATGTATGTGCTTCCTGTTGCTAAAAATAAATCACCCCCATTGCAGTTATGTCAGCGATTGCCTATATTCCTCAGCTGCAGTGGAATGCAAAGTGTGAAACTAAGAAACGCTCAGTATTCTGTTTCTTGACATTACTGATGGCATCTGGTCTTTTCCCTTTGTTGTATTTTGAGCTGACCTGTGAATAGCCCCAATAAATATGACACACCGTGTTGGCAAAAAGGCCTTGATTATTTTTAATGTCGAATTGATTTTTAAGCACAGTCTCCCGGCTGCAGACCCCTCCCGTGCCGGACGGCTGACCGGAGGCTCACAGCACGGGTCTCAGATGCCAGCTCCTCACCGGCGTCTGCAGGCCTGAGCCGGGCGTTCAGTTTCCACCTAAAATAGCACACACCCTCCTTGCAGTTGGGGGATAGAAAACCCTTCCGCCTACTTTCAAGTTTTATAGATGGGCCCAACTCAAGCTGCTTCTGCTGCCAAATGCTGGGTAGGCTTTCCGAGCAGGTCCTGTTACGGATGCTGAGGAAGCAGCATGGTCAGGAGGTGGGCTGAGCGCTCAACGGCGCAATCACCTAGGGTCAGCACGCCGGCGCCGGCCTTGCCCAGCGCGTGCACTTGTTGTGCGCTTTGGCCCACTGGGGTCCACAACTTTCCGGGTGTGTGTGTGGGGGGCGGGCATTAGTTCCCGTTTGCAAAGAATGAGGCTCACCGAATGGCTTGCCCAGGGTCACACGACCAGGTACAGGCACACCTCAGAGATACGGCGAGTCCAGTTCCAGACCAGGACAGTAAAGCCAATATGGCAATAAAACAAGTCACACAAATTTGGGCGGGTTTCACCATGCATACAAAAGTTATGTTTACACTGTACTGTAGTCCATTTAGTCGATTAAATGGGTGGTAGGATTATGTTTTAAACAATGTACATTATTTACATCTTAATTAAAAAAACACTTTATTACAAAAAAATGCTAACGATTATCTTGAGCCTTCAGTGAGTTGTAATCTTTTTGCTGGTGGAAGGACTGCCTAGCATATTGGGGCTGCCAACTGACCACGCGTTGTGTGGTGGTTAATACTTGGCAATTTCTTAAATAAGACCATAATTTGCTCATCAATTACCTCCTTTTTATGAAGGATTCCCGTATTCCATGCACTAGAAATTCTGTTTGGGGAGCCCTTCATCTACTTAACCATTTGTGCTTATTGTCTGTCCTTAGTAACTAATTATACATTTTATCTCAGTCATAATGGGTTTTTTTTTTTCATTTCCCTATATTTTGACTCATGTGAATCGGCTGCTGGCAATACATAAGGGGCATGTAGTTTTGGGGGTCCATCTGGTTTGGTTTTGGCAATTTTGTGTTAGGACCTATTAAGTAACCAGGTATTAGCAGTCAAATTAGCCAACCTCCTTCACTTTCAATGGTTTACATACCTCCTACCGTTTTGCTGCATCATTAGCAATTTCAACTTAAATTTATTAGGTACTTCTTAGTTTTTTTTTTCCATAGTCCAGAAGTCTTGGTACTTTTAGCATCCATTTGGATTTTTGCAAAAGTAGTAGGAATATCTAACTCTGCTTAAGCCTGGTATACATCACAATTGTCCATTTTAAATATTATCCCTTCTCTTCCTATTGCTGACCTACTATCTTTTTTCTTTTGTCAAACTATATATGTACATATTCTTATCGTGGGCTTGCGATCTATTTTTAGGATCTTCTCCTATTTTTGTTTCATCCTGATTATTTCATGTGTGGACGGAAGCCGCTGGCCTTATCCATGTTAATAATCGTCGCATTTTAAATACATGTTAGCGAAATAAACAGTAAACCAAGTTCAGTAATATCTTTCCGTATTTCAATATTTTGTCCCTAAGCTGTAGTGTGGAGTATGGGCTCCTCAGTCATAATGAGTTATTTTCGGCTCAATTAGGGTTTCTACTAACTTATGTAAGTTGCGACGCGATCCAGACTCAATTTCGGGGTTTTCCACTTCCATTACCAAGTTTAATTCCATCTTCTTTTTGACTGGGATCCTACTCTCCTTATGTCTTTGGTTTGTTAAGATTAATTTTAGGGGAGATTTTTTTTGAATGGAGTGACTGGAAACGTGACCTGTTTGGACCTCATCGTACTCTCATCATGCTCCTCCCTTCCACCGAAGGTGACGTTTCTAATGGCTGATAGCTGCAGGTTCATATCCGACGGTGGTGGTTGACAATCAACTTAATTTCTCGGGATTACGCGCTTCTGGTTTGATACATGGGTTGGTTGAATATGTGGGCTTTTATGTTTTCTTGCCTCTCATGATTTACTCTGGATACGATAGGTTTTTAGTGGTCAATATTGAATGTGTCAATTGGATGAATGGCTGAGACATCCTTTTTTCAGATATTGTTCTCAAAAAAAAGTTTATGCTCAACTTCTACTGTGACTTTCTCTTATATAAGCGTACCATTTCATCTTACTAATTTATGTAGTCTATTGTGTATAAAAGCTTTACTTGAAGACTCAAAAAGAGTCAAGCATTAATACAAAATCGATCCGATGGCATGCAGACCCTGATCGGATGTTGTGTAGGTTTTTAGGTAGCCGTTGTTTATGGAAACAACATATTGAAGTGCTCCTATTACGTCTCGCTCAGCCACTCTTGGTGATGTGAGTGGCAGTGGCTTGTCAGTGAGCAGGAGGAACAGGTAAGGATTCTTCGAGAGAACAGGGAACGTCTTTCTCTTCCTGGGAGTTCGCTGGTTTCGGTCTCAACAGTGGGCTTAAAAAGCTGTTCAGTACACGTGGCGGTAAACAGATCGTGTCTGTGCATCGGGCTTTTCTTTACCCTGCCTCTCTCATTTGCTTGTCCCCTGAAGTAGGAAAGGAGCACCGCGCAAAGGTGGACGCATGTAGGGGGATTGCTCCAAGTGCGTGGCAAATTCTTAAGGGCCTCGGAAGTGTGAATGCTGTAGGAGAAGGCAAACTATTGACGCACCTCCGCTAACAGCGTGAAGAGACATACAGCACGGCTGCGGGAGCAGCCCAATAGCAAGAGTCCGACTCGGTGACGTTGTTAGAGGAATCTGAAGCCAAAGCCAGGTGACTTAGTTTCCTTGTAAAATAAGCTTGAGATGGCCCCCTTTCTCCCAGCAGGCCTGTAAAGTCTTGTTCTCTGTAAATGGGCACCAATTGGGGTCATGTGTGGGTAAGTGTAGCCACCTTCATCAACAAGTGTCATTGAGGCACAGGAAGGATTACTTAACTTATATTTGTAGGGGCTACTGTTTGCTAATCAGGCCTAGCTTTTGTGACTATTCGTAAGTGAGATTTAGCACTCTTGTACGATTTCATACATGGTGAACGGACAATGACCTGGTGTCACCTAAGTTATGGTAATAAACACTCAAAATGCAGACCTTTCCTTTTTGCTTCTGGCTTCAGGGTTGGGCAACTGGGCAGCTAGGCGTGAAAGAAGACTGAGGCAACTTCTGAGACACATCTATCCTCCAACAGATGGGCTTAGCGTGCAGGTCAGGGGTTTGCCTTATTCCTCTCTCGTACTTTCAATGGTATCTTAGAGTTGAAGAGAGTTAGTCCGCCTCACGCTGGATTAGGGCTTTGGCTTAAGGCCAGCGTCTGTGGGCTGCGTTTAATCCCACCGTGGCAGACCACTAAATCTCCACATCGGGCGGGTAATGAAGGCTGTTTCCACTTTCTTAGATGCCACGTGTTCCACTGAAATAGCACTTTATAATTTGGCTTTAAGCACTTTCCCTTTGCGGTTCACAACTCACCTATTTTGGCACAAGAGGGCCCCAGCTTTCGGTCCTGGTTCAGCTGTAGTCGGCCTCCCTCGCCAAAGCTTGATCATTTCTAGCCTTTGATTGCTAGGGGCGAGAGGCCAAGCAGCTCTTCCTTTCTTACTTGAACGCTTAGAAACCATTGGGGCGGTTATTAATGGCGATGATTCAATATTGGTTGGTGTTACTCTCGACGGGA